AACGCACAACCAGGTGAGTACTTGCACACACAAACACACACACACACACATCCCACTTACCCAGCCACAACACCACCCTCAATGAACACCAAAAAACAAATAGTGAATTTTGAATTGAATTTAGAGTGTTCGCGAAGTAAACAAATACAATATGTCACTTAGCGATTCCTACAGCTTAGTTTGGCGTTCATTATCAGTCGCATGGATCACCTACCTCGCCCTGGAGTTCCTATTGGCCTGGCGTTACTGTAACCTGAAGACCTGCGTGAGGGCCCTAGAGCCAATCAGAGCCAGGTCTTTCCCTAGGACCTGGCTCAGCTATGTGCCAGTGCTGGGTAGTCTGATCCCAGCCCCTCAGGAGGCTGTGGGAGGAGACATTGTCCTGTGGGCCTGGTTATCCGCGCTGCCTGCAGTCTCCCGCGTGGTGCCGCAGCGGCTGCAGGTATCTAGGGCCGGGACCTGGACCTGGCCCAGCAAACACAAAACGTTTTGGAAACCTTTTCCAAAGTTTCATCTTGGTTGTGGGGAGAGATAAGTTTCATGTGTGGTTCAACAAGCACATGAGCAACCTTTAACCCATGAATGGTAAACGTATTTCTTTATGTAATACAGCAAATGCTGCCTTTTCTTAAATAAGTTTCCCCTTTATTTACTAAAAAAATATTGTGTTCATGTTTAAATATTAAATTTATGTACATTATACATATAAATTGTGAATGCTGTGACTAAGTTGTATGATAGGTGTGCAAAATATTTACTTTTTATTATGATCTGGCTAAAAAAAAGTTTATAACCCTGTTTGCTAAATGCTGTATTCAGTAATACTGTTTTTATGTTTAAATTATATTTTGGTACTTTATGCATAATACATCAACATGAATGGAAAATGCTGCTGCATAGGTGTATGAAGGACACACGCAACATAGGTGTATGAAGGACACACGCAACATAGGTGTATGAAGGACACACGCAACATAGGTGTATGAAGGACACACACAACATGGGTGTATGAAGGACACACACAACATGGGTGTATGAAGGACACACACAACATGGGTGTATGAAGGACACACACAACATGGGTGTATGAAGGACACACACAACATGGGTGTATGAAGGACACACACAACATGGGTGTATGAAGGACACACACAACATAGGTGTATGAAGGACACACACAACATGGGTGTATGAAGGACACACACAACATGGGTGTATGAAGGACACACACAACATAGGTGTATGAAGGACACACACAACATAGGTGTATGAAGGACACACACAACACAGGTGTATGAAGGACACACACAACATAGGGGTATGAAGGACACACACAACATAGGTGTATGAAGGACACACACAACATAGGGGTATGAAGGACACACACAACATAGGTGTATGAAGGACACACACAACACAGGTGTATGAAGGACACACACAACACAGGTGTATGAAGGACACACACAACACAGGTGTATGAAGGACACACACAACATAGGGGTATGAAGGACACACACAACACAGGTGTATGAAGGACACACACAACACAGGTGTATGAAGGACACACACAACATAGGGGTATGAAGGACACACACAACACAGGTGTATGAAGGACACACACAACATAGGTGTATGAAGGACACACACAACACAGGTGTATGAAGGACACACACAACACAGGTGTATGAAGGACACACACAACATAGGTGTATGAAGGACACACACAACACAGGTGTATGAAGGAGACACACAACATAGGGGTATGAAGGACACACACAACACAGGTGTATGAAGGACACACACAACACAGGTGTATGAAGGACACACACAACACAGGTGTATGAAGGACACACACAACATAGGTGTATGAAGGACACACACAACACAGGTGTATGAAGGACACACACAACACAGGTGTATGAAGGACACACACAACATGGGTGTATGAAGGACACACACAACATAGGGGTATGAAGGACACACACAACACAGGTGTATGAAGGACACACACAACACAGGTGCATGAAGGACACACACAACATGGGTGTATGAAGGAGTTACACAACATGGGTGTATGAAGGACACACACAACATAGGTGTATGAAGGACACACACAACATAGGTGTATGAAGGACACACACAACATAGGTGTATGAAGGACACACACAACATAGGTGTATGAAGGACACACACAACATTTAATCTACCATTTTTTCTAATAAAAAATTAAAGTGCATCAAAATACCTCTTTATCACCTGCATCAGTATTATAGTAGATTTTACATTAAATATTACTGAAGTACAAATAGGTGAGTACAACTAGGCAAGTACAACAACATAAGTGCAACTAGGAGAGTACATGTAGCTAGGTGAGTACACCTTCGTGAACACTGCTAGATGGATACAAGTAGGTGAGTTCAACTGCATGAGAGCAACTATGGGAGTGCATGTAGGGAGTACAACTACACGAGAACTATGGGAGTGCATGTAGGTGAGTACAACTGCATGAGAGCAACTAGGGGAGTGCATGTAGGGAGTACAACTACACGAGAACTATGGGAGTGCATGTAGGTGAGTACAACTCACCATGCAACACCTCAGAACTACAGAAGTCAAGGAAGGGGAGTATGGAAGTGCATCCATACTGCACTTAGGGAGGAGGAGGAAGGAGGAGTAGGAGGTCAAGGAGGAAGGAGGAAGGAGGGAGAAGGAGGAGGAGGACTTCGGGGAGGGGGGGAACTAAGTGACGGAGGAGAAGAGGAGGGGGGAGAATAGCAGGGGTAGAAGTAGTAGAGGTAAGAGGGGAAGGAGTGAGGGAAGGGGGGATGAGAAGGAAGGGGAAGAGGAGGGGGAAGAAGTAAGAGAAGGAGGGGGGTAAGAGAAGGGGGTGAGGAGGAGGGGGGAAGAGGAGGGGTATGAGAAGGGGTAAAGGGGGGGATGGGTAAGAGAAGGGTGGATGAGGAGGAGGGGAGGATGGGGAAGAGAAGGAGGATGAAAATGAGGAATGGGAAAGAGGGGAGGGAAAAGAGTAGGGGATGAGGACGAAGGGGAAGAGGAGGGGAAGAAGGGAGGGGGGTAAGAGAATGGGGTAGAGGTAAGAGAAGGGGGATGAGGAGGGGGAGGGGTAAGGGAAGGGGGATGAGGAGAGGTAAGAGAATGGGGGATGTGAAGGAAGGGAAAGAGGAGGGGGAAAAGGGGAGGGGTAAGAGAAAGGGAATGAGGAGGAGGAAGAGGAGCGGGGAAGAGGGAAGAGAGGAAGGAGGGGAAGAGAAGATGGGGAGGGAGTGTAACAGGATCTGTGTGACGGCTGGTGCATGTACACTATAGGCCTACAGAGTTGCCATGACGTGTTAGGACGCTGGATTATACAAGCATGTCTTGGTAGATATAATATGGTGTGTTCATCTTCATCAAATACAGCAAGAAAAATAAAGAATCAGATAATAATGTTTTAAATAACTTTATCTCTGATTTTACTTTTGAATTAAATTAATATTATAAAGTGAGCAATGGTTGGTGAGGCAGCGACGCTTGGTGTGAGGGGTCTCAACAGGCGATGGTCAACAGTACCCAACTAATCATCAGGCAATGGGCAACCCGTTCTCGCAAATTCGTAAAGTCAATATTGACTTATCAACTACGTGCATTGGTGATATACTAAACATAATAGATACCCCTAAAAAGATTCATAGAAAACACCGACCTTACCTAACCTTGTTAGTATCTTAAGATAAGCATCTTATTGCTTCGTAATTACAATTATTACTTAACCTATACCTATTATAGGTTAGGTAATAATTGTAATTACGAAGCAATAAGATGCTTATCTTAAGATACTAACAAGGTTAGGTAAGGTCGGTGTTTTCTATGAATCTTTTTAAGGGTATCTATTATGTTAAGTATGTCACCTATGCACATATTTAATAAGTCAATATTGACTTATTAAATTTGCGAGAACGGGTTGGGTCAACAGTACCCAACTGACCATCGCGTGGTGGGCCAGTGTTTATACCCGCACGTGGTGACCATCACCCCCTCCCCCCTGCTCTTCCCCTTCCTCCTCATCCCCCTTCTCTTACCCCTCACTCCTCCTTATCCACCTTCTCTTACCCCTCCCCCCTCCTCTTCCCTTTCTCTAACCCCTCCTCTCTCCCCTTCTCTAACCCCTCCTCTCTCCCCCTCCTCTTCCCCTTCGTACTCATCCCCTTCTCTTACCCCTACCCCCTCCTCTTCCTCCTCCTCTCGCCCCTACCCTCTCCCCCTTCTCTTCCCCTTTCTTGTCATCCCCTTACCTGTACTACTCCTACCCCTGCTATTCTTCCCCCTCCTTTTCTCCTCCGTTACCTAATTCCACCCTCCCCCCCCCCCCAGACGTCCTGCTCCTTCCCCCCTCCTCCTTTCCTCTCCCCGTTCTTCCTCCTTCCTCTTAGACCTACCCCTTCCTCCTCTTTCTCATACTCCTTCCTCTTAGACCTACTCCTTACTCCTCTTTCTCATCCTCCTTCCTCCTCTGCCTCGACCTCCTCCTCCTCCTCCTTCCTCATCGATCTCCTCCTCCTCCTTCCTCTTTGATCTCTTCCTCCTCCTTCCTCATCGATCTCCTCCTCCTTCCTCCTTGCACTCCTCCTTCTTCCTCGCCCTCTTCCTCCTTCCTCCTCGCTCTCCTCCTTCATCCTCGCCCTCTTCCTTCCTCCTCGGCCTCCTCCTTCGTCCTTGCCCTCCACCTTCCTCTTCGCATTCCTCCTCTTCCTTCCTCCTCGCTCTCCTCCTCCTTGCCCTCCTCCTTCCTCCCCGCCCTCCTCCTTCCTCCACGGCCACCTCCTTCCTCCTTGCACTCCTCTTTCTTCCTCGCATTCCTCCTCGCCCTCCTCCTTCTTCCTCCTTCCTCCTCGCCTTCCTCCTTCCTGCTCCTTCCTCCTCGCCCTCCTCCTCCTTCGTCCTCGCCCTCCGCCTCCTTCTTCCTCCTCCCTCTTCGCCCCACCGTCGATGATGGTGGGGCGATGACGCAGAGACCCCCACCGTCGTCACAGATGACGCAGAGACCCCCACCTCCGTCACAGATGACGCAGAGACCCCCACCGTCGTCACAGATGACGCAGAGACCCCCACCTCCGTCACAGATGACGCAGAGACCCCCACCGTCGTCACAGATGACGCAGAGACCCCCACCTCCGTCACAGATGACGCAGAGATCCCCACCGTCGTCACAGATGACGCAGAGACCCCCACCTCCGTCACAGATGATGCAGAGACCCCCACCTCCGTCACAAATGACGCAGAGATCCCCACCGTCGTCACAGATGACGCAGAGACCCCCACCTCCGTCACAGATGACGCAGAGACCCCCACCGTCGTCACAGATGACGCAGAGACCCCCACTGACGTCACAGAGACCCCCCACCGTCGTCACAGATGATGCAGAGACCCCCACCTCCGTCACAGATGACGCAGAGACCCCCACTGACGTCACAGATGACGCAGAGACCCCCACCGTCGTCACAGATGACGCAGAGACCCCCACCTCCGTCACAGATGACGCAGAGACCCCCACCGTCGTCACAGATGACGCAGAGACCCCCACTGACGTCACAGAGACCCCCCACCGTCGTCACAGATGATGCAGAGACCCCTACCTCCGTCACAGATGACGCAGAGACCCCCACCTCCGTCACAGATGACGCAGAGACCCCCACCTCCGTCACAGATGACGCAGAGACCCCCCACCTCCGTCACAGATGACGCAGAGACCCCCACTGACGTCACAGATGACGCAGAGACCCCCACCGTCGTCACAGATGACGCAGAGACCCCCACCGTCGTCACAGATGACGCAGAGACCCCCCACCGTCGTCACAGATGACGCAGAGACCCCCACCTCCGTCACAGATGACGCAGAGACCCCCACCGTCGTCACAGATGACGCAGAGACCCCCCACTGACGGCACAGACGTCGTAGAGGCCCCCCACCGTCGTCACAGACGACGCAGAGACCCCCACAGACGTCCTGGAACAGCATGGTCCTAAGAAATGCCAAGTGAGTTTAACACAACTTCCTTATAAAAAGGAGTTGATGGCCAGGATCGTCGCCACAGAACGCCTCAGACCCGCCACAGAACGTCTCAGACCCGCCAAATAACGCATTGAACGCTCGCTCAACATGGACCCGATGTTTTACGTTCAGATGTCGATCCATCCGTCAGGCGGCTTCGACTTATCTTTGCAACTCAACGTATTATTCCCCGCCGAAAATCTGGAGGTCTGCTACGACATCCTCAGAGAGAGTCGACCCAGGACGGCGAGGGAACTCGACATGACGTGGATCTACTGGCTGCACCGCCAGCTGTCGAACCCGAACTTCATCGCACAGCAGATTTTCGTGTTGACCACCGACGTCATCAACGGGAAAACGGTGGCTGATTGGATCGAATCCATGGTGGTAACGGCCATGAAGATCTAGGGTATCAAGTCTAATGTCCACCCTGAAGGTGACGAAGACAGAAATGGCTGCAAAAATGACGAAGATCCCATCTCCAGAGACACATAGCCCACTTCTGGCGATGCGGAACCCACTTCCGGCGACACGGATCCCACTTCCGGCGACACGGAACCCACTTCCGGCGACACGGAACCCACTTCCGGCGACACGGATCCCACTTCCAGCGACACAGATTCCACTTCCGGCGACGCGGAACCCACTTCCGGCGACGCGGAACCCACTTCCGGCGACACTGAACCCACTCCCGGCGACACAGATTCCACTTCCAGCGACGCGGAACCCACTTCCGGCGACGCGGAACCCACTTCCGGCGACACTGAACCCACTTCCGGCGACATGGAACCCACCCCCGGCGACACAGAAAGCGTGGGCCGCACCACAGAACGCCTAAAGCACACCACAGAACGCACCAGGGACACCATACAATGCACGATAGCACGCGCAAGACAGACCGTAGAACGCATATGGGACGAGCCCTCGCCATAGTTCCGGAGTTCGCTGTTCAGATATCTTTCCAACCGACAGGCGACTTCGACCTAACCGTCCAATTCAATATATTGTTTCCCGCAGAACATCTGGAGGTGTCATACGACATCAGTTTGAAGAGTCGACCTAGGCGACGGAAGGAACTCGACTCGTCCTGGATATTCTGGCTCTACCGCCAGATGTCAAACAAGGACTTCGTAACTACGCAGAAATTCGTGTTGACTAGCGATATTATCACTGGGGAAACGATTGCTAACTGGATCGAAGCGATGGTCAGGATAGCGATGGCTCAGGGCAGGAGAGCCAATGCCATCCAGGATGAGACGGTAATTCCAGACGTAACTGATATATCCGGTTAGATGTACGTGGATACATCTCCGCGCGCTTATGCGGGAACTAACCCGTGAGTAACCTGCTCTAACCTCAGCACTCACCCGCAGTAACCCTCTAACCCGCACTTACACTCGCGAGGCTCCTTGCTATTGTTGTAGCGAGGCCCCCGCTAGTGTTGTAGCGAGGCCCCCCCCCGCTAGTGTTGTAGCGAGGCCCCCCCCCCCGCTAGTGTTGTAGCGAGGCCCCCCCCACCGCTAGTGTTGTAGTGAGGCCCCCCCCCCCGCCAGTGTTGTAGCGAGGCCCCCCGCTAGTGTTGTAGCGAGGCCCCCCGCTAGTGTTGTAGCGAGGCCCCCCGCTAGTGTTGCAGCGAGGCCCCCCGGCTAGTGTTGTAGCGAGGCCCCGCCCCCGCAAGTGTTGTAGCAAGGCCCCCGCTAGTGTTGTAGCGAGGCCCTCGCTAGTGTTGTAGCGAAACCCCCCCCCGCTAGTGTTGTAGCGAGGCCCCCCCCGCTAGTGTTGTAGTGAGGCCCCCCCCGCCAGTGTTGTAGCGAGGCCCCCCGCTAGTGTTGTAGCGAGGCCCCCCGCTAGTGTTGTAGCGAGGCCCCCTGCTAGTGTTGCAGCGAGGCCCCCCGCTAGTGTTGTAGCGAGGCCCCCCGCTAGTGTTGTAGCGAGGCCCCTCGCTAGTGTTGTAGCGAGGCTCCCCGCTAGTGTTGTAGCGAGGCCCCTCGCTAGTGTTGTAGCGAGGCCCCTCGCTAGTGTTGTAGCGAGGCCCCTCGCTAGTGTTGTAGCAAGACCCGCTAGTGTTTTAGTGTTTAACGCAGCTTAACGAGATTGACAACAATATCAGCAGAAAGAGGTAAAACATTATTAATTAATTCATGAGCAAGGCAATGAAGAATATTAACAACCGGTACCTTTGTAAACAAAGAACAAACGTCAAAACTTATTTTAACGTTTGTTTTAGTTCTGTTCTTGTCCTTGGTAGGATGTTTTATTTTTACATGAATTGCTTCAAGAATTTGTAATCTTCTTACATCTTGGGTTTTGTCTATTGTACAAGTGTTTTTATTCAACATTTCACTTGTTAGGGTGATGTGATGGGCTTGTCTCATGTGTCATCTTTGTGAGATTTTTCTCTACGCCTACCTCCCTTAGGAGGTGGACTACAAGTTTTAAGTCTGCTCACGGCAGTTAAGCATGAGTCCAGTAGAAAAAGGAAAAGCGGGAGCAAACCGCCAGGCCTCCACCACCAAGGGTGAAAACCTGTCCACAATAGGCCGCTGGCTCCTCCTAGTTAAACAGGACGTTAAAACTAATAAAGGGTAACCGACGGGTTCTCACAATCAAATATTTATATTTGAAGTGGCGCTATGAATTGGAATTCGAATTCCCAAGAACAGCCGCCTTATCAAGATCACATCAACATTTAATAATATGCAGAAATATGGTGGAATAATATGGTTGAAGGGTTGACATCAAAGACTGTTTTCTATAACATAACAATTTATTAATAACAAGAGACTAACTACTACATTACCGAGTTTACGTTACGTTAATGTCAATCCAGTGGCACGATAACAAACAGCTAAATAGCAACCCTTGCTGTGAGGCTGCATACTGAACTAACCTGAACACAGGTGTGCCCACTGATGACGCAATATTGCAAAACAAAGAAAAATATCACAGACTAAGTTACACCACAGCGAATGGTTACGTTATTGTACATCAAGTGGCATTTGCAACACAGCTATTCAACAGCCCCTCGAGAAGTGACAGCAGGCTCCATCTTGCTGACACTTCGGGCTGACAACATGAACTAACTGAACAAATGAAGGATCCACTGAAACAAAGACACAAGCAGGCAATCAATAGTGTCACGGTTTCCCTGACAGCTACTATAATCACAAACTTAGGGGTCCTCCCGCCCCCCAGGAGAGACCCACGTAACTAGGCGGAAGTCTAACAGTGACTCCCCCCTATCACAACCCCGTGTGAACACTCTTTGCAACTCCCACTAAGAAGTTGCCCTGTTGTAACCCGATACACAGACAGGCAAGGCGGGATTCTGGGACACAGCTCCACAGATCCCTAGATGACTCTACTCTCGTCACCAGACGACAACCAAAAGAAATTGCCTGAAGTGATTAATTACGTTAATTGACTGATCGCAGCAGTCAGCAACAAAGTACTACGGTAATCACAAACAATTGTCTCCCACTAGACAACAACATGATGATACTCTACGTTAATCTTTAACACTTGTCTCTCTCTTGTTAACAATAACTCAACATATTACACCACACTTGACTCCTTGCAAGTATTCAGTGAGTAATTCTCAATTAAGGTCAAACGGACCACTAATTACATCCCCATTGAGTTACGTTAACTAAGCCTACCCTAACTTGGTAGCTTCTCCACAGTCTGTGTCAAAAAAATTACGAGTGAGTGTTAATTACCCTAATTAACCCACTAATTACTGAGCCATTAATTAACTGTCACCAGGACCGATAATTAATCATCCATAAATACGTCTCACTCCGCACTGCCTAAGCAGGTCTCATCAAACACTGTGAATTCACGGGAAAGGAGTTAATTACCCTAATTAACAAGATGTGCCAATAATCCACTGTCCTCAGACAGGATATGATTAATACAACGATTTATGCTAGCTCCATGACCTCGCTTTACCGAGTCACCGGAGCTCTCCAATGCTAATTACACCACCAATTAACATGAGCCACTAATTGCTTTACCCCTGAGAGGTAATTAGTCTCGAGCATATTACGTTAACACAAATACTGACAGACTCTCTCCCACTACGTGAATTCATGATGAGAAGGCTAATTACATAATTAGCTAGAGTGGTCAATTAATTGTCACATGGACAATTAATTGCTCCCAAGACGTATCTCATTATAGCTCAACACTGTTTCTCTTAACAGCCCCCACTCACTCCACCATACTAAGTGTGCACCCCTTATCCAGTTAATTACCCCTTAATTAACTCACTGAATCCTTAAGTCCTCAACATAACTTAAAGAAACAAAGTAACCCCAGCGTTACATAGGTCACACTATAATGGCATGCAACAACATATCAGCACTACCCACATATGGTTGCAGCTACTACAACTCGCTAATTACTGTGCCCACACAATAAAAACACACGGTTGTGCAACACACACAAGTATACTAATATTACTGCCCCTCCTCTTTTAATTCTTGCACCTGATTGCAAAGGAATACTGTGAACACACACATACCTCAGCCAGGCAATTAACCCATCAATTGCCTGCTCTCATTAAGT